AATTTTATTTTTTGGTAAAATAACTCCAAATAACTCCATGCATTGTAGTAGAACTCTTCTAGTTACATATGCAAAAGAAAAATTTTATGAAAGTGTCATAGTTTGCTAATGGGGGCGCCGGCGCGCCGCCCCCAAATGGGCAAAATGTGACCACCTAATGGCAGCCGTGACAGGGTAACATTACCGGTTTGGAAATTAAGTTGAAATTACCATATATAAGACTCTGTAGAGTCTGAAACATGATGAAAAAAACATTAATAGGTGTATCAAACATAAAATGTTATTTAGGTACCTATGGTAATTTTAACTTAATTTCCCGGCCGGTCAATGTTACCCCGTCACGGCTGCCATAAGGTGGTCAAAGTTACCCCATTGGGGGGCAGCGCCCCCCATTTTCCAACTTTGACACTTTTCTAAAATTTGTTTTTTGCATATGTAACTAGAAGAGTTCTACTACAATGCATCAAAACCTGGAGTTATTTTACCAAAAAATAAAAAAATTAGAGGGGGTACTCCGACAGGCTTTAAATAATAGCTCTTTTTCGTGGGTCATATTTTTAATTTTTTAACCTATTAGATATGCAAACTTTTTAAATCTCTTTATTGTGTTACGTAGCCTCAGTATTGGGCCTTTGATGGCCATTGACAAAATTTTTCTATGTCGAATCGTTTTTGAGTTGTGGGGGTATTTGTTAAAAAAACGAAAAGTGGTCAAAGTTACCCCGCCGGTCAAAGTAACCCCATTTTACGGTACATGCATGACAAGAAATTTGGACAGAAGCTGTTGTGTGAATTTGACCAAAATGCCTGTTCAGGCACAGGCTGTGATCTTGCCAATTTCAACTGTTCCCAATCACTTCCTATAGCCCCATCCAATTTTTTTAATGAAATGTGTTAATATCATATACCTGCAAATTTAGGAAAATTCTGGCCATATTTATTAAGTATTTATTAAATTTGTTCAAATTTGATTAGTACCTATATTATATATACTGAAAGCCACTCAGAGGAAATCTGCTTTCATTATTTGTGGCACAACTTTTAAAGAAATTGATGGAGATGAAAATTTTCCAACAGTGAGGGACTGAGGGTGAGCCACTCTCTACTGCACTTGCACATGTTCTATAATTTTGAGTCTTGCTAGCTAGTTTGCTTGCCACATAGCAAGCAAAATTAGACAAAATTTAAATTGCTTTTCTGCTAGAAAAAACCTGTGATTACAAATATTCTTTGATTACATGATGCATTGAAAAAAATATTGCCCTATAGGGTTCATTCTATTTTTTTGATTGTCAGATTTTTTGTGGGTAAAGAAAGCATGACAAAATCTTGGTCTACTTCAGGAGGCAAATTTTCAACCTGTTACAAAAGTCTGATGACTTAGCTTCCATTCTTTGTTACTTGACTCTGGGCTTTGTCTTGTCTTGTAATCATTGATTTTATTAATTTCTAAGTTGTGTTTCTAATTTTTTTTAGAATATAGAAATAACTATTTTTTCTATTTTTTAGAATAAAAAAAAACATCAAGTGCATACCATGTCATTTATAGTCATTAACTATAAGCTTGAACTCATGAGCCAAGCTTTAAATGATTGCAAGAAAGTTGGTATTCTTGCACCAACCTGCAACTTTGATCAACAGGGTAATTAAGGTTCTCTTTATCCTAGTATGGAATCTGTCTCTTATACACATCTAGATGTGTATAAGAGACAGTGCTAACGCTGCTTCCTTCGAGCCAGCTTCAGCGGGCTGGACATCTGAGACCTTCCGCCCCTTGTGGGTGATGAATAATTGAGACCTTCCACCTTTATGGTGATGTTCATCTTGACTTTCGGTGCGAGATAGCTTAATAGCTGAAGCGCTAGTAAACATTTGGACACTAAACTAACTAACTAACTAACCGAGATTATCAAACCGAGAGGTTCGGACTGGCCTGTCTGGTTGCCTGTAGTTCGTTCACATTTTTCACGAACCAGGCAGCAAGAACACCATTCCTCTAGTCTTACCTCACGCCCCAACGTAGGCACGCAGCTAATAGGATTGGCATGAATCCTGCTATGAATCGGACATATATCAGCCTACTTGCAATTAATCTAGCATTTTTCAAATAGGCGATCTCTGCAACTATGACCACAATGTGCTCTGATATCCCTCGTATGCGCCAACGGAAGGCAGCCTGCATCCACGCCAGTTCTGACAGGAACTCAAAAACATAACACGTCTGCCGGTGGCTGAGCACTCCACGTTATTACTGAGACGCTCCCCATACTAGTTAAGAACCGCCATTTCAGTCTATGAATAATGTCTAGGCAATCTGATCAAATGGTCACTTTCACGGTCACTGCCGTAGCTTCTATAGCCCAATTATGGGCGGTTGAAACAATAATAGTGTTGGAGTACCTCCTAACTCTGAATGCGAAAGAATGTGAGTTGCACTGATCGTGCGCATGAAAAAAGTAGATATCATGAATAGCGCAAGAATTTCACCTGTTTCAAAATTCGCATGCGATTACGTAAACGCGTATTAACAGAATAACACGAATGAAGTGAGAGTTTTGGGGTTAGGATTATTTATTCAGGGGAAAATATTTGATGCAACATTTGCATCGCGTGGAAGGTGAAAGAGTCAGAGACTCGGAGATTTCAAGCCAGAGGACTCGAACTTGTCAAAGAGACGGGTCGCTGATCGGTGCGTGGTGCCGGTGTACTTTTGAGGAGAGTGTCAATTTGTCGTTACGGTGAGTTTAATGCAACGTTGTTGGCAAGATAGACTGTGAAATAATTTCCATGCAATTTTACGAGATGTCTTAGTTTGATGGTAGACTTTTTTATTCAGCTTTCTCGAGATTTGAGACTTACATCAGTATTGTTGGCTTTGTTGCCGAATGCCGGCCGATGTTGCGTCAGCTATTTGAAACTTTCATTGTGGGATTCGATAAAACACTTTGAACCAGAAACAATGAATGGAGGCGCGTTCACAGAAGTTCCCTGACCCAGTTGTAACAGGCTAAGCTGCCAACTTTCTGACAGACTGACCCCCAAAACATATTTCTGGCACAGAATCATTTTCGAGCTCCAGAAAGTTAGAAACCTGGGTTAAATGTATGAGCACAAGCCATAAAGCAAGAAAATACTTGTGAAAGGTAAAATTTCAGTGAAATGACAAATGCTAGGGGGGTATTATTGCAGATTAACTACATCCAAAAAAAAGGGTGGTTTTTTTTTTGAATTATATGTTTTTTGGGGTGTAGATTACGAATCTGAAATCCATTTATTTTGTTTATTTGTTTACATTACGATGTTTATGTTTTTTCTGCAAGATATTTTTGGCGGAAACGGTAAAGCAATGCGGATTGCGGAAGTTGAAAATTTTATGAAATGACATGTTTGCAAAGTGCAAACCACGATTTTTAATCAAACAAAAATTTATGACATTCGAGCCGCGAGATTTCATACCTACTGAAATTATATGATATTAGAGCCGCGAGATTTCATACCTACTGAAATTATATGATATTAGAGCCGCGATATTTCAGACAAAAATAGGACTTTTCCAGACTAGTCTTTATCTACTTGAAGTTATACTGAAGTTATAATGGAAATTGCAAGGTTGCATAGATGCCACTTGAAGGTGGGGCTGAGTAGAAGAGCATCTGAGAATGATTTCGATTTTTTAACTTGGAATTATTGTATTATAGTCTGTCAAATTCAACATTTTACCACTGCTGGATCAGGTGCAAGAGGATTATGTAGTTTTCCACAAAACTTCTTGTTCTATTAGAAAAAATTAGTTGTTTCAAATATAAATGAATTGTGAATTTATCTCCCATGAACATGTTCTTAAACTATAATTAGAGATTGCATATTTTTTTGCAGTTTGAAGTATCAATAAATATGTCTCCCAAAGATGCTATTTTCCACTCTTGGCTTATTAATATTACCCTATTGATGATAAAAATTGTATTATTTTATTATGTTAATAATGGTCTCTTTTCTAACCTTTTTTTAGATACCTAGTTTATGATAGTTATATAATTATCAGAATAGTGTGAAGAAACTAGACAATTCTTTGTAAGTTCAGCCTTTGTTTCAAAATTAGTGTGGGCTTTATGTTAGTGAATAATTTAAATAGAAGGATTTTCATAAGACATGCCCACTAATTTCTGAATCCTGCTGACAGCTTTTATAGAGCATACTTTGAGCCAAATAATTATTGAACCCTTTCAAAAGAAAAGCTTGAATGAATTTTAGACAAAAGTTCTTGAGATATATTATTGATGAAATAATTTTTTGTGTTCTCTACTGGATATTAATATTATTTTACCCATTTTGCTTTTAAAATGATTGTAATGTTTCTTTTTATTCTGAATTAATTTTTTTATTTTTGATTAATGCTTCAGATGCTGCTGAAGGAAGTGAGGTCAACTTTTGTGGAGTACTTCCAGAAGAAGCACGCACATGTGTACGTCCACAGCTCTCCAACCATCCCTCACGATGACCCTACTCTCCTCTTTGCCAATGCTGGCATGAATCAATTCAAGCCAATATTCCTCGGCAATGTGGATCCAAGCAGTGACATGGCAAGATTAAAGCGCGCTGTGAACTCACAAAAGTGCATCAGAGCTGGTGGCAAACACAATGACTTGGATGATGTAGGCAAGGATCTATATCATCACACATTCTTTGAGATGTTGGGAAACTGGTCCTTTGGTGACTATTTCAAGGATGAGATTTGCTCATGGTCCTGGGATTTGCTCACCAACGTGTACAAATTACCAAAGGATCGTTTGTATGTGACTTATTTTGGTGGCGAACCTTCCCAGCAGTTGGAGCCTGACCTTGAGTGCCGGCAGAAGTGGCTGGATCTTGGTGTTCCTGCTGAGCATATCCTGCCAGGAAGTATGAAGGATAATTTCTGGGAGATGGGAGATACTGGCCCATGTGGTCCGTGTTCAGAAATTCATTTTGACAGAATTGGAGGAAGGGACGCTTCTTCATTAGTAAACCAAGACGACCCTGACGTTCTGGAAATCTGGAATCTTGTCTTCATTCAGTTCAACAGGGAATCGAATGGACAACTGAAGAGCCTTCCTAAGAAGCACATTGACTGTGGTCTTGGCCTCGAACGTCTGGCTTCAATTATGCAAGATAAGCGCTCCAATTACGATACTGACGCCTTCTTGCCAATCTTTGTGAAAATTCAAGAGCTGACGGGAGCGCGCCCGTACACTGGTATGATTGGTAAGGCTGACAGTGACTGCGTGGACATGGCTTACCGTGTGCTCGCTGACCACGCCAGAACCTTGACTGTTGCTCTGTCTGATGGAGGAATGCCCGACAACGTTGGAAGAGGATACGTTTTGCGACGCATCTTACGGCGCGCAGTGCGTTTCGCGTCTGAGAAGCTTGGAGCTAAACCCGGTGTATTCGCAGAGCTCGTCGACGTTGTGGTTGATCTGCTCCAAGACGCCTTCCCGGAGCTTGCCAAAGATTCTAGCTACGTGAAGGATGTCATAAATGAAGAGGAGCGTCAATTTTTGAAGACTTTAGAGCGAGGACGCAAACTTCTTCACCGAACTGTTGGCAAGCTAGGAGTCTCCAAGCTTATTCCCGGTGACGTGGCGTGGCGTCTTTACGACACCTACGGCTTCCCAGTGGACCTAACTCAACTCATGGCAGAAGAGAATGATCTCAACGTGGACATGGATGCCTTCGAGACATGCAAAAAAGAGGCACAGGAACGGTCGAGAGGGGAAGCCAAGGACCGGGACGATTCATACAGACTAGACGTCCATGCCATAGAGGAACTCAAGTCACGGGGCATTCCATTCACTGACGATTCCCAAAAATATGATTATAAAGCTGGCAACTCTCCAGATGCCGACTACTCGTTTGGCTCGTGTCTGGGTAAAATTGTAGCTATTCGCATGAACGGCCATTTCGTCGAAGAGGTTAAATCCGGTGATCGTTGTGGAATAGTCACCGACCGGACCTGCTTTTATGCTGAAAGTGGTGGACAGCTCTCAGATGAAGGCTTTATGGTGAAAAATGACGACGACTCGACTGAATTCAAAGTCGAAAATGCTGAAATTAAAGGAGGCTTTGTTTGTCACGTGGGAGTTGTTGAGGGCACTCTGAAAATTGGTGACGAAGTAGCAATAACTTTTGACGGTGTGAGAAGAAAGTTACTAATGAATAACCACACTGGAACTCACATCCTGAACTTTGCTTTGAGACAAGTTCTCTCGGCCGACGCAGATCAGAAGGGTTCACTGGTGGCTCCTGATCGTTTGAGATTCGATTTTAGTAGCAAAGGAGCAATGACCGTCGAGCAGGTGAAGCGAGCTGAACAGATCGCCGTCGAAATGGTCAAGTCCAACAGCCAGGTTTATGCCAAGACATCTTCATTAGCTGTTGCCAAGAGCATCGTGGGGCTCCGGGCTGTGTTTGGGGAGGTGTACCCTGACCCTGTTCGAGTTGTGTCGGTAGGCATTCCAGTAGAAGATCTGGAGAAGGACCCGCAGAGTCCGGCTGGCAATAAGACCAGTATTGAATTTTGTGGCGGCACTCATCTTCTGCGTTCCGGACACGTTGGCCACTTTGTTATTGCTGTTGAAGAAGCCATCGCCAAAGGAATAAGGAGAATCGTTGCTCTCACCGGCCCCGAAGCTCAAAAAGCCATTAACCGAGGTGCGCTCTTGCAAAATAAAGTAAACCAACTAACACAAACTCTGTCTAATGACAGCTTGTCATATAAAGAATCGGTGAAGCTCATTACTGATTTAATGGAGGACATCAACCAAGCTCAAATTCAGTACTGGCTACGCGATGAGCTCAGAAACGCGCTTGATTCTGCCAAGAAAGTGTTGGGAGATGCCGACCGTGCCCGCAAGATGGCGGTCTCTAAGGACGCGATTCGTTTCGTAAAGGAGCTAAAAGCCGCCAATCCTGACGTGCCTTATGTGGTGGTGGAGCTGAAAGCGTTTGCTCAAAATAAAGTACTGAACGACGCTCTGAAGGAAGTTAAGAATGGGCCTCCAAGCCTCTTCATAAGTGCTGATGAGGATACCGGAAAAATTTTGGCCATGGCTGCAGTGCCTAAAGATGTTGTCCAGAAAGGTCTGGCTGCCGATCAGTGGGTGAAGAATCTAACGGAGCTGCTGGACGGTAAGGGAGGTGGCAGAGCAGAGAATGCCCAGTTGAGCGGCACCAATACGTCGGCATTACATAAGGCTTTGCGACTTTCGCACGAGTTTGCTCAACAAAAGTTAAGCTGTCCACCCGTTCATCTCAAAACGGATGAGCTTCTTACAACGTCGGCTACAAATGTTTTAGAAAAACCACCGAAGTGTTGCCAAAAACGGGAAGAGACGAAAGTGGCAGTGAAGACCCAAGCGGCGACTGATACTAAGTATGATTTGGTACTGCATGGTGCTGACAATATTCAGGCCATTTTTGTTGCACTTGCCGCGGGCTTCTCAGGAAAGACCTTGACGTTTGCTGACAACTCGGCGAAGAGAGTGAGCTTAGTGACGTCCGAAGGCAGGCTGGAAGGCGCGCTCGCTTCGGCTTCTTTCGTAGCGCCAGCCGACATGTGTGGGAAGGATCCCGTGCACAAAGCCCAGGTCTGACTTTACTTCCAACAGTTACAATATCATAATAGTGTCGTTTACTCCATTATGATAAGTATTTCAAATAATTTTCTCCATCACCGTTCCTTGAAGATTTTGCTTGAGGTGTTCCCCTGCTTAAAAAAACATTAAAATCTGCAATCGTTTTCATTGAAAGGCTGGACATGTATTTAGATAGGTTGGAATCTAAGATTTTTCCAGCTATCTTCATACATTTTAGTATCCAGCTTATTTTAATATGGTTAACTGCTGAAATGCCCAATACTGTCGGGCCACTTTCTTATAATGTAATCTAGTGGACTTGGCCATCTCAATTGTTCAACATTTTTATTGTGTCGATATTGGTTAGAACTGCAAGAACGAAAAATATTGCCCCTTTGAACAGCTTTCATGACTGGTGGGCTCTCTTTTGCGTAAAATTACCCACAAATTTTGATGACAAGTCTCCAAATTTACATTGCAATGACTTTCATTGCAGGTGTTGTCGTGGATGATCACTGCTGAGTCGGAACTGCTGCCTCTACTTGCGGCTGGCAAGCTCGTCAGTCAGCCAAAGCCAGGTTGGTTCACCGTGCATATGTATTTTAAAGACCAAATTTATAACTGCATCAACGGCTGAAATGTATCATTTTCTCTCCGCATTTTCTTATGTTTCATGACGTATAAATATTCAAAGTTTTACATTTGCTATTGTTTGCTGCATTTTCATTATAAAAATTCAATGCTTTAGGATGGTAAATTTTTTTTTGTGCCATTATCGATTAATTCATGAAATATGGGGATTTTGTTGCCTCATATTTTAGACATATTTTTTGGAAAATTTTGATTTATACCTACTTACGGTTCTGTCGCGTAATTTCTTTGCAACGTTTCTATGTCTTTGTTGCTGCAAGTAGTTAAAGTTGAATTTCATTGCTGAGCAGGCGCTGGAGCCGCCGCCCAGCAGATGCTGGAGCGCTTGAACCGCTACCTACGCGACCACACCTTCTTGGTAGGCGAACGCCTGTCGATGGCTGATGTGAGCGTCTTCGCGTCTTTGTTGAACGCTTACCGCGACCAGCGCCTGAGACCTTCCATGGACAAGCTCACGAGCCTGACACGCTGGTTCAACACCGTCCTTCATCAGCCTCCTGTGCAGACTTGTCTCAGCTGCATGAACATGACGCTTTAATGGTCGTCAGTGAGGCTTTTAGCTTGGAAGGTCGATGACTGAACTTTTTGCTGTCATGGTTGTTGAGGCTAAAGTGTGTTGTAGGATAAGTGAGTAAAATCTGTTCCACCTTTTACACATGTTGTTGGTTCAACCTAAGAATTGAATTGTTTTATTAACTTGGAGTTGCATCCGTTCCGACATCCACGCGCATTGATTGTTACTACTTGTCTGAAAGAAAATTGATTTTCAAAAATTGTAGAAAAGTTGATGAAATTTGAATACGTGGAATTTTCACTTGGCTTCAATTACGCGTGGGCGGCGGAATGGCTGATTGTCGACTATGGGAGCGATGTTCTTTCGAAGAACTTGCTATGTCGAATTACCTTTTTGGATTGAGTAAAAAATTTTGACATCAGCCTCGCATCATTTCTCCGAATAGTTTTAGATATTGTGTTCGACCGGCTACGTATAAGTCGTAAATTCATCATGACCATTGATTAGAAATAGGGAACAATCTTGAGGTCATGACCCGCATGCTGGCTTCACTACTTGCTTTGAGGATTTTAGAGTCAATGATTGGATCGACATACTTCAACGCTTGGTGAACAAAAAACGACGTAGTTTGATTTAAAGTCTAGCTTTAATCATGTGATCCAGAGCATTAAAATGAATGAATATTAGTCTATTTTCTCAATAAATGAATTTGTTCTTCACTTCCATAAATCAACTTGAGACACGATATTCATATCAGCCAGTCGTACCAGGGACACAAGACGCCGCTCGTCGTGTTCGTTTGACCAAAATTTGCTCTGATGCTCTCCACTGCCGCCTTCCGAGCTTTTGCCTGAAAAAATACGAAACCTTGAAGATGCAGGAAAATCTTATTTGAAATGCATTTTGAATGCGCGTTCCTTATATTATACAGCATTATCATCGCGGCCGGTTCGAGCTTCCACAATATAAAAAAAATACTTTCCCTGTTTTTCAATGCAAATTGAGCTTTGATGTGTCCAAGTTTGGTGCGATACGTTGCACGGACACCCATACCGTGTTGAATAATTCTGAGATACACTTCAAGTTCAGTGCTGGAGTAGGAGCATGAGCACCGCTAGTATTTTGAGGGAATCGAAGTAATTTGACGCGACTCAAATCAACATCGTTGATCAGACAAAACTGATCAAATGAATAATAAATGAATAATGAATTGATCAAATGAATAATAAATGAATAATGAATTGATCAAATGAATAATACTATAATAAACTGTAAAAGAAGATGAATAGTTTATTTGAGTGTAATGAAACTAAAGGAAATATTACAACTTTCAGCCAACGGTCAATAATTAAGGTCTACAGACCGGGTTGCGGGGACCGATGATGTCCTTGAAGCGATGCAGAAATTCGCTTCTCGTCTCTTCAGGGCGACTGGACTTCAGATGCAAGGAGACCGCAGGGCCCGACAACAATGATTGCATTTCATCCTGGAGTAACACGTCAGTGCATTCAGAGGACACTTTCAGCCACGTCAATAGCTCCACAACAAAGTTCTTAATCTGCTATGCGATTAATATGTTCATCATTTAATGAAGGTCCGCTCGAAATTTTATTTTATTGCTATGCCTACCACATATAGCAGGTACAAATTTTGACCATTAGTACCAAAAATTATCTGAATTTGGTAGACCAGGTTATGTTGCAGAATGTGAACCTTTTCCATGCTGAAAGACATTCACACTAGGTGGCCAATAAATTTCACTTTTTACATATTGTAAAATGATCTGGTTAAAAAAGGCAATATTTCAAAAGCATGCAAATGTAAAATTTTTATGTTATGTCCGAAATATGCAATAGACCAATAATTTCCAATGAATCCAGTTCAGTAACTTACCATTAGCGTCAAGAGAAGCTCACCATTTGTTGCGGCGTAGGCGGCGTTCTCGGGAGTAGTGTGGCTGTGGCGTATCGCCAAGCATCGATGTAGTTGAGACGCACGAGCTCGGCTCTCGCAGGGGTGCAGTCGTGGTGCTGGTGGAGGCTCCTCCACAGCGACCCCAGCGCCCCTGCATCCACAAGTTGATTTAGGGGCTATTCTGCAGCTACAGTTAGACGTACTTGAGCGTTGTCAAGAAATGAGACTCGATAATAGCAATTAATCATAAAGTTTCTGTACACATAATCGAGCCAAACGCCCGTTAGAGAGTTGAAAAAAGGTGCTTCACTAAAACAAAGAGAAATATCATTTAATAAATCAACGCAAACAATGAGTAGATTTTTTCCTCTTAAAGATTTGACTCACTGTCTTTCAAGACGTGAGGTAGAACAAGGCAGCTCAGTTCTGTGAGAGGCTCAGACGTTGAACAAATGCCGTCTACGGTGTCTTTGAAGAAAAATGCCAATTCCTGCGATGCAAGAGTTTGTTGATGCAATTGTTTTATGGGATCGACACAAACCTGCTTAGTCATTCAATAGAGGACGATGCTACCGTGATCCTTAATTAATACGATGGTTTACATTACAGAATAATGTCAGTTTATGCACTCTATGTAGTATCTGGACCCTTTTTGTCATTCATTCTAGACTAGTGTCTCCCAGAGCTCAATCAACGAAGAATGATCCATTAGATTTCACTTCAACATTGTATTGATAAATGTTGAGTTAAGTTAACTACATGTCGCTTGTTTGTCCGGAGTAAATTAAAGCTTGCACTCAAATCAAATAAGTGATGAATTCCTTACACGACAAAAAACCCTCTTTACAATCAATATTGTCTTATTAAATGTTGACTTAAGTTAACTACATGTCGCTGGTTTGCCCGGAGTAAATTAAAGCTTGCACTCAAATCATGAATTCCTTACATGAAAAAAAACCTTTATAATACAGAATTGCTTTCTCCAGTGAATGAATACCCGCTATTATCATTATTTTTCACTGCGTTGAGTGGGAGAACTAACCCTGCCAGCAGCTTCACGACTGTCCGAGCCGTGTGCTGCGTTGCGCTGCTTGTCGGTGCCGAAGAGAGCCCTCACCGACCCCGGGGCGGAGCGGCGCGCTTCGTTGGAGTCTGTGGGTCCCAGGGCCTCTCGCCACACCTTGATGGCATCTGGCCCCACGAGGCGCATGGCCAGGATTGGGCCACTCGTCACGTATGAGACGAGGTCTCTGTTGGTTTGACAAGTTTAGATAACATTTTTCGTGCTGGAATTATGTCCAAAGCATCTACCTTGTTGGATATGAAGAATTTTAAGCACTAACACAGCTCAATTCAGTGTTGAAGTTACGTCCAAAACGTCTCCCATGCACTTACTCGAAGAATGTTCGCTGGCTGTGTTCAGCATAGAAGAGACGTGCCATGCTAGGCTGGAGTGCGACCAGGCGCATGTCAGCGATGCGCAGAGTAGCGATCTCCTCGATCCTGCTGATGACTTCACCAGCACGCTGCATCGCGTCAGGCTTGATCATCACGAACGTGCTGTTGGAAAAACATTTCAAAACTTTCTTTTAAACGCGAAGCATCCGGTGAACGATGCTCAGATACAGGAATGAAATAATTCCACGATACAAACACATTTCAGCGTTTTAAATACTTTTTCTCGTTATAGGCGCTAATTGTGTGCTGAACATAGCAGCCTTTTACTCCTCGTGTTCCTAGAATAGTTAGGAATGTGAGGTTGAAACGTTCTTAAATTCAAATGTGTGGTGTTTCCAAGATACAGTCATGCAATTATAGCCCTCATTTGAAAATTTTACTCTTTCATAATCCAGGAGTGTCCCGTGGAAACTATCTTCTATTTACTAGTTCTCAAGAGCTTCCGAAGATGTCATTACAATAAACACAAAACATTTCTAATAAAATCAAGAACGGGAATGCATAGCTTATGGAAAATTATCGAATCTGGTGACTGCCGCATAGTTAATACGCTGTTTAATCACTACGTCGCTGATAGGGGCAAAGCTCTAAAGTTTTCCTCAAAGAGACATAAATGGCTCTGTAAAACAACACATTTGTGCCCGACTTTAGCATCCTTGAATTTATTGTGATATTATATTTTTGTTCTTGAAACAGCAAAACTCGGTAAAAGAAATTAGCATGAAATGTGAATAAGATGCACGTATATGAGAGTCCGACCTCTGTCTGTAGCAGGCGACAGCAGCAGCCGTACGGGTATCGGCAGCGGCACCGACAGTGTAGGTCTGGTCCGTGAAAGTTAGCGTCGCTCCTTCGTAGACATCCAGGGCACCGACGGCTTCTTTAGCACTCACAACGACTTGTGAATCTGACTGTACCTGGAAAAAACGATAAAAAATTCTACACGAAGCCTGGGGGCAAAAAAAACTTTAGTTTTGGTTCAGTGAAAAGGGTATTTTAGGCAGAAATCTATTCAGTGATAAATCTCTGGAGGAAGTTCATGCGTCGTAATTTGTTGAATGCAAGAAGAAATTCAAAATCAACAATACAGCATGGAGGGATAAGCAGGGTTCCATAGGATAAGATATTTCAACACTTCATTTTGTATTCGTCTGTTTCATTGACGAGGAGAGTCACTGTACAGTATTTACACAAAAAAATAACCGAATAAATATTTAGATGCATTATAAAATAGAAGCAAGCAGCTACCTTTCAACAGAGATTCACCTTCAACTCACAACTTTTGCCATTGAGTTCCCGACATTGAAGACTAACTGAAGTGCGGGCTGGTCGTCTCCATCAGTGAAAGGAACGCGTGACACTAGGAAACGCCACTCAGGCAAGGAGTCCGCGTCTTGGCAAGATGAATCTTGGTCTTTGGGAGGCGCCGTGAGGTCGTTTACTGTTGGCTGTAAACAACATCTGCATTGATGACATAGGACCAAAAACCATGTTGATGACTGATGGAATGATGTATAAGAATCAGCAACTCATTCACAAATAACTACCAAGTCGATCGTATTGTATCAAGAGGATCGATTTCACAAAATTGTGTATCTTAATGTAAAAGAAATCAAATTTTCATCTTTATTCAATAGTATGAAATCATCCGTACCACCTGCCTTAACTACGTATTAAAATGACAGATGGCATTCAGTTTGTTGGTCTCGAGACAAGAAATGTTTGAGCGAAATTTTGAGAAAATTGAGCGAACAATCATTTTCAAGGCATGATCGAAAATTGAATCACCATGTATCTGAACGAAATTTTGGGTTTTCTGCATCAACAATAATGTTAGCGTGAAAATAAGCAATTAAATATCTATTATCCTCAGAACTGCGGTCCTAAGGCGAGTAGTTATATTGTGGAACATTCGCAGGCAACGATCTGCGTATCATGACAGAGCCTTCAATCAATTACATTATCAATGCGCTTTATTCTTTTTTTTTAATCGTGCTAATAAAATTGTTATCTATCATGAATATTTAGGCCGAACTGATTTCCATCAGAAAACCATAGATGCACAGAGAACCAACGTGCAAGATCCCTTTTCTACCACCCACGTCAAATTTTCTTCATTGAGTTATCTTGTTAGAACTAGAGTCTCGCTTTTCGCATGCTAAGCGAAAGAAAAACAAACGAATAAACAAACATGATTTAGCAGAATACAGTCTTCATTTCGATCGTTTCAGCCACATCAACTCATGAAGGCCTATCAAATAACTGTTAACGTTTCGTTTTTCCATTCGGTTGCTTGCGTCTTACATTTTAAAACTCGATGCCCGTCATACAAACGAGTAAGATAGCTGAATTACTCTGCTGGCATCGTTGACGCACCGAAGTATAGAATAGAAGTGTCGGCATGGAAGAAATAGGCCCATGGCCTGTTAGGACTGGCAAACTGGTTGTAAGTGGCGTAAAGACTGGACAATGTTATGAAGTGTTTAGACTAGAAGTGTGTATTACCTCAAATGCCACAGTAAATTTTCATTAGGTACTGAGCTCTAGCGTTGCCTTGCGAATGATGGTCAAAAAGCAAGTTCTTAGTTCCCCGTGAAATAGTAACGTAAGAATAGGTGCCAGGCCGAACTTGGCCCAATATTCAGCGAAGGCTATTCTATGCCATAATGAACTAACATTATCCTTTAAGTGAGGTAATACCATCCAATAAAACACAATAATAGAGTATTTGTTCATAGAGCTAAAGAAGCTCACCGAAATGTATGGCCAGATCAGAGCTGCCAAGGCTCCCAAAATGAAGCCACTGAGCAATCGGCAATTCTTGAGGGCCATTACAGTTGCACGCTCCTCGACGGTGGTCTTCCAAATAGTCGAACTGAGGTAGGAAATTCTAGTTTATTCTCACCTTCAGGGACATTTTTGTATTCCTTATGGACACCACACGACGAAGAAATCACGCATATAAAATAATTAAACGTATACTTCAGCAATAATCAAGGCTGTTCTAAAACTGACTAACTTGAGAAAACGGACTGCTCCTTCTAACATCTCAATCAACTGTGGAGGGAAATATTTCACGTTAGTAAATCTAAATAAGTTCATAAGAAATACTAAAAATGATAACCTTTTTATATAATAATGCATGATTAATCAAAGAAGTAAGTACAGAGTGAACATACTAATCATCTAAATTATTCACGGTTAACTTAGTCTGGAATTCATAATATTTCTAACCACCGAGATAAATTGAAATCGTGATTTTAATTACGCCGAGGCTCTAGATTAGGATCCAGGATCCAGCCATCAACAAGCGAGGAAGGAATCCAATACAAGTAATAATCCAGAGGCCGCTGCAGTAATTACTGATGCTACCGAACTTGAATTGAAAGAAATAAGCTATGGGCAATGAAAAGTATCAGTCGAAGCGACGTGCAATGACTGAAGGGAAGCCGGGGGAACGTGTTGAAATCCCCTAGTAGGAAGTGAACCTACCCCCTGCGGCTGTGGCTGTTCTCGATTTTAACCAATATACAGGCACAAACCTAAAATCAGAAATGGATCAAGTTGCTCGGTGAACGTCTTCCAAGCTCTGCAAATTCAGAAGAAAAAATGAAAGACGCCAAACTCGGAAGGATGTTTGAAACTAGAGTTTTTCATCCACTTTTATTTAGAAATTCAAACTACTACAGTGAGCAGAGCACGGAGCGCTGCGCAGCTCATTGAGGCCATCAATGCACGCTCTTGCAAATAGCGAATCTTTTAGCCTGGCACCACAACGCCCGCTAAATTCTAAGTACATAAATAATGCAAACCTCAACGTGTAAACGTGCATCTGCAACATGCCACAAATATATAAAAAACTTTCTTCTAAATGATCAAAACAAGTTCTAATCGGGGCCTGAAATGATTATATACATGCAGGTAGATGGTCGTCAGAAAACGTTACTTTTCTCTGATCAACAACATATCTCCTGACGAATCTAAGTTTTTTATCAGATGGACAATTCAGCGCCCCAGTAACCAAAAATAAACAATAACAAAAAGAAACTACAAAATCATTCTCAGATTATGAATGAAATAAGACAACAAACTTGAAGCTTTGGTCACGTATTGGGTCCACAGCAACAATACAGGGAACTCCAGCCAGCACTTGCATATAAAACTTTTACAGAACAACTCATGTCCTTTGTGGAACGCACAACATGAAGCGCATAATTTTATCCACTTTTGGATGAGGAAAAGAAAACCGAAATCAACTTTTGGATGAGGAAAAGAAAACCGAAGCATACGAGCGAAAAATTCAACAATAAAAACAAGTTATTATGAAAAACTTATGAGAGCAACATTTTTTCGAACCAATGATTCATATCAGCGAGAATCATTCCAAGTTAAGTAAGATGAAGTTCGCATGAATATCACCCACGGGCTCAACAGTACAGCAAGTGATGAATTCGAAAGATGAGTAAGGGTGATCACAACTCGAGTAATCCATGACAATTTTAGATTCTTCCTGCTCCATCTAGATCAAATTACAGCATATCGATGGAAGATCTGAGCAACGGTACAGAAACAACAGCCGGAGCTGCGTTAGCTTCCAATGGTAGGACGGGGGTACGCATCACACTGCGTTTATCTTGATACATATTTAATATTTATCAGAACAAAAAGCCAACAGAGTGCACAAAAACTTAGAAAGATATAAGATTACTTCTAAAAATTGCAGTCACAATAAAATAGTAAACACGCCTCATTACACACAAGAAAATTCAGAAGGAAACTCAGTGCTTCCACATGAGGAATGACTTGAAAATTCACATGTTATAGAGTATCAGTAGCAAGAAGCAAAACGAAAGTAAAACCCAAGCTCAATTCGATCAAACCGTTTCAAATTCAACCGAGTCGAAAATGTACAAACGGGAAAATGCCACATGCAATTAAGGCTTAAATGATGAACTCAATGAAGACCTCACAGGGTAACCTGCAGGATCTGCTGTAAAAAACTTTCGTTGAGGTCTGCATGCCACGACGAAGAGAAATCCACGCTACGCTCGAAGTGATTCACTAATTTAGCAAACTTTTTACTGAAAACCAGAAAATTGAATAAAGATATAAGGCAAACCTAGAAACTTTGAAAAAACATCCGGGAATATATATCATTATTAATCGACAGCGTTAAATTCTTCGAGGTCTTGAAGGGCAATGTATTGGCTGCATTCAGGCTTTCTTTTCCTGAGTCACGCTTGTACACATGAGGCTCATTTCAAGTTGAGGTGCACGGGCTATAAGGAAAACAACCCAAGGATGCACCGTACAAAAGGCAATGTCCTGGCAAAATAATAAAAGAGATCCTAGAGTCATCCCTGGGATGTACTAAGTGGCCTTGGTTTTAGGACGCTGCCCTTTGACGACCACGGGACGGTTTCTGATGGCTCCACGCTTTTTTCTGTTGATCTGTAACAGAAGAACGTATCATCATCTGGATATATAAACAATAGGTATAACAACTTTTTTCATATGCGCCACGATCAAAGTTAATGAACTAAATGCCTCGATAATACAAGTTATACATAATACTGATACTAATATTATCAAGTAGAATAGAGCAAACTGGGGAAGTTAGTATTTGAAAATTTGACAATTACTTAAACGCATCGCAGTACTTGGGTATGGTTACACCAGCAAAACAATAAAAGTCATCGTACGACAAATTATAAAAATCAAACTAATTACTACCAAGGCATTCACTATAATAATCAACCATACCAATAGTTAAAAGCAATGAACACAACTGGAGATTGTACCAAATAAAAATATTTGTATCGTTCTTGCTCAATATTAGGGGGGAGGCAAAACTGATGACTTCTACTGAGGGAAGAAATGCGCCTCACAACAACACAAGCACGTAAAGACGCAAGGGATTGTAAGACAATTATAAAGCCATTATTGGATACAACAAAATGCACATCACCGTACATCGACAGAGAGTCAGAGACACTAGACAATATCTGCTTTACGGAAAAAGCCATGGTTTAGCGTTTAAACAAATTTACAACTTGTTAAAGTAGAAAAATATTTACCACACTAAGTACGTATGGGTATTAAAATGCAGTTTTACCACGTAATGTAGGTATGGGTATTCAGCTAAGTTATACCACGCTCAGATTTACTTAAAGTTATACCTCATCTGAGTTAAAAATCGTAAAACGGATGTCGATTCAACATAGAAGCCACGAAAGAAAAACCAGGGACATAAACATACAAATATCCGCAAGTGTACTTTCTCGCAATTAATCAGGGCAGATAGAATATAAGAAGAAGTTTTCGGACATTCTTCCATAAAAATTTCTATGGGTACTTCACTGTGAGAAGTGAGAAGTAATGATGCGAGGTATAACTGTAGTAAAAAAAAGGTTCAGAGTAAAAAAATCAGGTGCAGAGCAAGCAAAACTATACAAATGCGTATGAAAAGAGACCTCGCGAACGTCAAATTAAAAGACAACATGAAAAATGTTGGTGTTTGTACTCACGTCTCGCTCCAAGTCCTGGTCAAAAAAAAAAAAAAACAAAGGAGAAGTCAATGCTTGCTGCTCTACGTTACTAAATTCAAATGATTCAGGATTATAAAAACGCCCAACTACTCTCGTGTTGCCAAGCATACAAAAGTACGTACTGTGGGAACGGCAAGTGGCGAGGAATCACAAAATAACCCGGCGCAATAATACTGTTATAGTAAAATTGTGCGGGATCCAAAATTATACATTTACCTAGAGAAATTAGGATAATTTGCATTTAATGAAAATAGAGTGTTTAAATAAACCACACGAATGAGCTTTTAGAATAAGATAACGAAATTAGTATACTTTTGCCGAATGCCGTTGAAATCTATGCACGTGAGAAGATTTTGCAATCAAGGCACCAACGTGATGAGTGCTTTCCAGCGTGAAAGTGCGTAGCTCTCAAATTTATTAAAAAAAAGATACCAATCAAGATTTGACCACGGAAAATATGCCGTGTTTAAAGGTTAGAATCTTAAGTAAAAAATATTTGGATAACTCACTTTCTTGGAAGATTTTATTTTGCGCTTTTTGGCAAGAGAAGGCAACTGCGGTCTGTTGAATTCGTCTGGCTTCTTCACTCTGGATAAAAATGAGACAGTGAGTCATAAAAGATAGTTTTTTTTTCGACACAAGTGTGAGTACTAAAGATACCAAGCGACAATCCTAGTACTGAATAAACACAAATGGTAGCAATTATGGAAAATAATCAATCAGGGTAAACTATCCCAACATATAGAGGATTTTCATGATAAATGCTAAACGACATAAAAATTTACCAACGAAAGTAATGTAGAATAATTGTAATTCAGCTCGATCCTCAGAAATTAAAAAGTTACGTTACACAGTTTTTAAACAAATGAAAAATGCATCTTAGATGCACCAAGTAAAAAAAAAAACATATTCTAATAAACACAAAATTAAGTGACAGAATATCAGTCACATGAGCAACGTCATATTAATAACAGATGCGACCAAATGAAGGATTTGCTAAATAATTCATGACGCCGTACAGAGTTAAGAGACCAGACCTGTAGATGCGCACAAGCCAGTGTTCAGTGGTGTAGGCCTCGTCCAAGTAAGTCAGGCTGATGTCTTTGTTGCCTATGACCGCGTTCCTTGTTCGGTCAAATCCGGCCGCCGAACGGAAGTCAAGCTGCTCAGAAAAACGTATTAAATTAGAAAAGAATGTGATGTATATACCATAAACTGAAAATAATAAAAATATAATACACACTGATGTATCATAGACTGAAAAATACACTAACAAATATGAACTCGAAACTAGGAAGTGACCGAATACGAGGCATGACAGTTGCGAGCAAGAAACACGAAAGAAAACCCATGCATTCAAACCCGAAATATACCATAAACTGAAAATAATAAAAATATGATACACTCTGATGTATCATAGACTGAAAAATACACCAACAAATATGAACTCGAAACTAGGAAGTGACCGAATACGAGGCATGACAGTTGCGAGCAAGAAACACGAAAGAAAACCCATGCATTCGAACCCGACGTAAAAATGTTTCTCTTTGCAAGACAGACAAAACATGAGAACAAAGTAGTTCATGAGCTTTAATGGGATGATGCAGTTTTCGAAAGTTGTCGATCGAAGTTAAAGTAGCTAAGCAACATAAATACGTTTAAATGGCCCACCTTCAGTTCGCCAAATCTGTAGTAGGAAAGTTTATACATGAGGCAGTTGAGAAGAGTTGGTGAACCCTCAGAGTCGACACGAAACTCGCCACGCTCAGTGAAGTAGTCTGATTCCTGCAGGGGATGAAAGCCACGATATAATAATATAAATACACAAATAGGTGTTAAACACCAATCTTTCCCAGATCGTAAACACATTATAGAGATTTTCAATGAAACCCTGGTTTGAGAATTTTTACATTTTGTAAGTAACCTCTTCAACTAAGGAAAAAAAGTTGATGGATAGGGCGAGCTTTGATATATAATATCAATGATCAATATATGTATAACAAATGAATTATCAATAAATTTTGGAGGTTAAACTTCCAATCAGTTTATCCTGCCATCATGCGTATCGCAATTTTCAACTGGTATACATTAATTCACATACAACCACCAAAATCTAGATCCTTCACTCGCATGAGCCCCGACCTTCAACTCCCATAGCTACTATGGTCAACGTCCAATTCAAAACTCAACCAACACGCCACAATAAAAAATACCTGAATTTTCCAGTAAACTTAGTGACTTTATTGTGTTTTTTACGCATCGTAACTTTTTGAGGTATATGATAAGTAGCATACTGAAGTAGTACAGATTAGAGGAACATTCATTCGCTAGTGAAGTGAGCAAAAGAAAATTATTGATTTGGCTCTCACCCTGATGTCCTTGGGGTGCTCTCCCTCAGCGATTCTAACCATCCACAGGAACTTGTTGATGTCGTCGCCCGAGTAGCCGATGACGCCACCAAAGATGACGAGTACGTAGTCCACGTCGAGCGCTGTCATGATCTCATAGGCGGCAGACTCGTTGGACGACATGGCCTTGCCCACGAGGGCGATGTGAGAGTTGTTCCAAGTGTTGTTGTCAACTAAAGTTGTGCGATTTGCCATACCTGGGCATGGGGTTTGGTCAGAATTAAGAGGAATGTCACATGGTAACGTAGTATACTATACTACGTTACCTATTTGTAACTATACGGTACTCGCTAATGTAACTCGCTAGCGGCGAGTTTTATACATAAAACGCAAGATTTTACCACAACACAAAACAATATGAACATTGAGAGCGAAATAAAATGCACGTTAAAAGTCAATACTCTAGGATCTTCAGTCTATAAGCTAATGACTATATTTTCATGTTATGCGATGAAAAACTTGATCTTATCAGCTTCAAGAAGCTTTCAATTGCTTTTTGAACAATTTTTCCATGTATAATTACGAATTTGCGTTACAAGTTGAAGCATTCATTCGTTCGTTCATTTCTCTACAAGACTGGCAATACAATGTGTAATTCATAATTGAAGGGCTTCAGAAATATTCATTGAATTAATTAACGTAGTCAATAGACGTTTATGTCAAACATACCCGCTATCTGGTATCCATAGTCCCACCAGGACATGACGCGCGCCTGCTCAGGTGTGTTCTGTGAGAGCCAATAGTAAGCCTCTCTGAAGTCGTCCAAAATCTGTCTGGAGCCGTCCTGGCCATAGGAGGCAAGCACGATGGAAGGCGAGGAGTAAGCATTGCTGGTGACCCATGTACAGTGCACGGTGAACATCATGAGCATCATTAGCACCGCTAGGATGACCAGAGTGCGGATGTTGCTGCCTAAACTTTCACTATTGGCTGTTTGTTCGTGCTTCATCTTGCGCAGCTTCCCTGCTTTGTCATACTTGTTGGTCCGCTCTTCTTCATCTTCACTTGACTCTAAATTTGAACGTTGTGGAGCCTCGTCCTACAGAACGATTATTTAAATTCAATAATAATTCAAGAGACAATAAAATTAATGCACAACTTAATTCATGAAGATGCGGTCAAAAATATATAAATAACACGTTAATCTGTCCCACACATGTCAACGTTACATGCACATAAGAACACAATATTATTCTACTAAATATTCCAGCCAAGAGCACTAAGAGAAAAGTACTTGATGAGTACAAAGAGAACGGGACAAAATACCAAACACTTCAGTCTGGCCCTATAACGTAAATAAATTAAGATTATTTCAACCTGGTTAAACTATTAGTCCGTATTGCGTTCACTGCGTACATAGATTAAAAGAATCGTGTACAGGGAAGAAATATAATACAGTGCATAACAGTCCTCACCTTCAGGTAGACTTCAAAGAGCTTGGAGAAGGCAACGCCCGAAAGCACACAAACGACGGGCGTGAGAGTGAGCATGAGGCGCACCATCACCCCAGCGAAGTACACGGCACTCACGGCAAACAGCACGACTGCACAATGACAATTACTTGAATACTTAGGTGGGGTGATGAACGTTGTCAGATATTTCAAGTTTATATTCCTATTGATAGAGATGTTATTAATGATGGATGCAGTGACTACGTATATATGCCTGAAAACTTGGCTTTAAGCAAAAATAAAACCTCTTCATAAACATGTAACTTGAAGCATTTATTGCGCAAACAAAACATATTTCTTAATAAATAATAAACATAAAATACCCGTGAAGTGCCATCAATTACTGTCTAAATGAAAACTAACACGTGATGTCAACTAACCATGAACCGTATCACGTTACCAGCCCTAAATGAAAACTCGTGTGGAGAACAACTTTCCACAGATGCTAGTGCAAATATTAGACAAGACTCACTGAAGACTCTCCCGTCGGTGACGTGCTTGATGATGCTAGTGCTAATCTTAATCCTTACTCACTGAAGGCTCTCTCGTCGGTGACGTGCTTGATGATGCTAGTGCTAATCTTAATCCTGACTCACTGAAGACTCTTTCGTCGGTAACGTGCTTGAAGATGTTAGTGCTAATCTTAAGCATGACTCACTAAAGACTCTCTCGTCGGTGACGTGCTTGATGATGTTAGTGCTAATCTTAAGCATGACTCACTGAAGACTCTCTCGTCGGTGACGTGCTTGATGATGTTAGTGCTAATGTTAATCATGACTCACTGAAGACTCGCTCGTCGGTGACGTGCTTGATGCAGTACCAAAGGCCTGCAGGGAACGTCGCTATCAGGATGTGCAAGTCGAAGAAGAAACTGAACCACGTGGTGGGCTGATGCTCTGACACGGACGCGATGATGGGGATGTGGATCTTGGCGTAGCCCGTGTCCCATAGCGAGTAGAATCTGTCATTGGAAAACATACACATTGTATTATACATACTATTTAGACACAGCAAAGAGTGAAATCAATGTATACTTCTGCTTTCGCTATGTTTTTGGAATTACACTCGTTTCAATTGAAAGTAATGGCTGAAAATAGTAATGAACATAACCATTGTTGAGTGGCAGAAATTGTTAAAGTCCCTCTGACGGATTTAGCTTAGAATTTTTTTACCAAAAAATATTAATAAATATGTGTAACAAGTAATTGGAATGAGAAATGATCACTAGACCATTAAAACGACAATTACATCAAAAACGATAGTCCATCTCGAAGTTGAAAGAGAACTATAAATCATAAATAATTATTCCAAATTAAAACTGACCTGCCACTCCATGGAGCAATGAAACCAAAGTAAGTGAGCAGCACAACGGCCAGGAACACCACGCCAGCAGCTATAGCGCAGGCCGCATAAAACACTGAGCGGAAATCACTCTTGCTCATGCGCGACTGAATGTGCTGCAGTACTGCCACCGCGTTTATCAAGACAAACACGCCTGAGAGAAAAAGTGGTTTTAGGAAATGAGGACCACACATCACTAAATAACAATAGAGCTGATATATTTCATGGTCTTAGGATATGGTTTCCAATTTTTCCATCTATCTAATTTTTTCATTTTACGATGGAAAATCTAACATGAAACTGAAATACATAAACATGTTCTAATGAACAATTGTAAGATTTTTTATGAATTCAGTTTTACTTTGCGTGCATACTGTAGTTTGAAATCATTATTCTGTAATTAGGGTTTCAAGAGTCACCTGCGGCAGCCATGTGCTCGGACGTTCTAATGGGTTGGAAACCCACAAATGGGATCTGCATGGAGCAGACCAGCCCAAGAATGAAGAAGCTGGAGTATGCAGTGTAGAGTCGAGAACTGAAACGGCCCATGATGAGTAGCACGAGCACATGCAGAGGGATCAGGTTGATGATGTACACATACCCACCCCAGGCACTCACCATGTAGAAGTATGAGAGTGAGGTGAGGCAGCTCCAGAACAGACTGCCAGTTTTTACCGACTTCACCTGCAATGATACATACAATTTTGCACTAAATCATGAATAATATTTAGTTCATTGGTTCATTTTACAGAAACTGACTGCTAGAAGTAAATAAACTATGTGTGAACTTTGTTTTTCATAACATTAAAGCAACAATTGATTGTTGTACAAAATACGAATGAAAAGAATAATTTCAAGATCACAAGAACTTACCCACAAGTAGAAAGTGAACATAAGTGCAAAAATGGCAATGCCTTCATTGTCATAGCTGCCAGCAACAGAGCGACTGATGTAGCCAGGAACAACAGCAATGAAACAAGCAGCAAAAAGACCAGCACCCGTTGACCAGATCTCTTTTGTTAACAAGTATGTAGATATAGCAGTAAGGCCGCTGCACAATAAAGAGGATCAATATTAGTAAATGCTGTCAAATGTAATGATGCGATGCCAATACTTCAGCACAATGCCTGTAATGCAAGAAACAGTCAATTATTGCAGTCAACACAACAACCTAAGAGCAAAATGAATGGAAATCAGGATGCATGATGAATGATGCATTTAATAATTCACAGAGTAATTATGAACCACTGTAGAAAGCTCACCTGAATATGGGTGCAAGAAATACACAAATATCACGGATATGAACAGGGATGTTCAGAAGGCTTAGGACGTAGTGTATTGAGCCTGATGTGACCATGAGTCCAGGGTAGACTGTTCCTCCAACGATACGCCCCAGTGGGTACCAAGCACGTTCATCAAACCAGTTAAGGAAATTGTAGAAGCCATGCTGGACCATGTGAGCAGTTGATCTGTAGTTGAACCTGAAAAATTGCAAAATACTTTAAACACTGACAAGAAAATAATATTTAAAATTTACAAAAATTTATCCTCTTGTCAAGCTACATTTCAAGAATGGGGCATAATGACAGAAGGAACACCATATGAGAGAATATATATCAAGAGTTGATGGTTACTACGGTACTACCTAACATCTGAAAGCTCCAGAATATTCCAACAATAACAATAGTCTAGCCTTAAAGTTGTAGCAAGTTGGAATTCATACTCAAATTTATACCAAAGAAAGAATGCTGACTGAATGAACTATTTTCAATCAATATAGAGCTGCAGTGGTGCAGTGTTGGAAGACTGTTCTCAAGACAAGGACAAGTTCCTTTGGGAAGCTCATCTCATGGCTAACACAACCTATCATTAAATTCTGGTTGCAAAAAAAAAAACAAGGCTTCTGTCTGGCATTGTGTAATGTAACAAAATGGTTCAAGCAGCTCAGCAAGCCAGTGAAGGGACTAGTTACCCATGGCCTCAGTGCCATATGTACTAATCCATCAATATTGATATTGTGAATATTTTCAATTGTGATACATAGCAGTTCTAACTGAAGTCATACCCATAGTCTGTGCAACCTACAGAAGTAAGATATTTTACTATTCAATTATTTATTTTTTTACTGTACCATCAAACAGGGTAATAAGGGACAGGTGGATGTCAGTCCTCCAACATTTTGTAGAACTGTTGTAGCAGCTAAACCATTTAAAACATTGCAAAACTAAGAATGGTGGCGTTAAATTCAACATTTTTCCTATCTATGTAACATAGCAAAAAAGCAAGGTTAGAAATTGTACATTTACTACCTCTAAAAATTCCCTGCCAAAAAACGAGATTTTCTAAAAGTACCTCTGCTGAGGTCTGTAAAAAAATTGCCGCAATGAAAAATTTTACTTGCATAAATGTTGCACACAGGTGTTGGCTTAGAAACATGATTGAGTAGGGTAAACACACCGTATTCTGATACNGGAATTAGTCTCACAATAGGGTAAACGCACCATATTCTGACATTGTGGGTAATTCCAACACCCCTCAACTTTTTCCTTTATATTAAGCTTGGTCTTAGTTCCACGCATGCGAAGATGGTTGAAATAGTCACATCATACTATTGCCCGCAAGATTTCCGCAAAACACTAGGTCTAGCAGAAAATGTTAAGATCCACAGAGCAAAATTCCAAGTCAGCTAGTGAGAACATCAAAACACATATGAAAGTTGATACCTTGCTTTACTGTACTGTACAAACAGTGATAAACTGTTTGTGTAGACAGAATATTATGGTTTGTGACTTAATTACGAATTATGATTTTGAAGTGCTGTTGGAATTAGTCTCACAATATGCCGCATTTAGTCACACAGTGTTGGAATTCTGCAATTTTGTAGATTTCAATTCTAAAGGCTTTTAAATAAATATGGCAACAGTTTCTGACATTTCATCATTGCTGGTGCATAGTGTAGTGTTTTCAGAGTGACGTAAACCAACCAGAACTTGAGTTGCGCATATGATGATCTATTTATAGCCATTTATTTCTTGCTACATCCTTAAGGTGTCGGAATATGGCGTGTTTACCATAAGTCCTGTGCACATGTTACCCCAAATCTATTATTTTACTTTTAAAAACAGTCAAACAGTAATAATAACATTTGTCTTTACTTTAGTAATTTTAGCAAATTTAGTGGCAACTCAACATGTGATAATGCAGTCAGACTACTCTCAGCATTCTGACTTGACAGCAACTAGGTATTCAATCTTTTTGGGTTGACTCATTGACATTACATTCTGGCTCTGCAGGATATTTTAGTGGGAGCCAGAGGTAGAAGCCTACTGCTACTGCTGTCTCTTATACACATCTAGATGTGTATAAGAGACAGGTGAGGGACTGTAATATGGCACCTCACGTCCCTCATATCGAGGAGTGGGTGATGTGAGGGGTTGGAGCCTCGCACCCCCGTCGCCAAATGGGTTCTCCCACAACAGTGAGGGCTGGGTTTTTCCCATCACATCTTCCTCTCATTCAACATTATTTAATTAATNCTAGGTACCTACCGCCTAAAAATTATTCTACAGATAATTTTTGTAAATTATACTAAAAAATTTATAGTTTTTGCCCACAATCTTTAGGAAATCCTGTACAATATTCAAGATTGAGTTTGTTCAGTAGCATGTAGGTACAAGAATACTACCTAATACTCAACATCAACTCTACAATCAAATATCAATAAGCAGTTAAAAACTTAAAACCGTCTCAAAACAAGTAAAGCAGATGTAACCTCGTTACCTCCGTAGGCACGTAACTTACCATGGATCAAATTCATGGATGATGCTTTCAAATCTAATTACGGCAAATAAGCGGGAAAGAAATCCAGCCATCCATGCTAATAATAACACAGTGAAAATGACTAAACTTTTAACTCCAAGAGGGCCGGGGGACGAATCGTTCCTCGAAACGTGTTTCGGCATTGTAAAAAAATTGGTTATATCGTCTTACTCATACAAACTGGATTTCAAGTTCTCATGAAGTAAATCTCATATCCACGACTCATTCCTCTTTAAATAAACAGTTCTAATTCATCAGCAAATTGCACTATCTTCTAGCGTGTCCATGCCACCTGATCCAGATAGCCGATGTAAACAAACCAGGCGAATGTACCGGTGGTGGCGAAGTGCCATTGGTCAACTTTCTAACAATTGAGAGCTCAATTGCGCAGTGACACCAGAGTACAAGTCCGGCCAACATCGCGGGACAAAAAGTCTAACTGACAAATTTTAGGGACTTTTTCGTCAAAATTGTTTTATATTAAAATTTTGTCAGTTCTATACGCAAAATAATTATACATTATTTCATCTAATCAATCAGTGGAAAGCTAGAAGTTAATATGAAGTATAATAAGTTTAAAATGAATGTGTTAATTAAACACCTGTGACCTGTTTAAACGTAATGTTTCATTTGATCGTAAACAACGAATATATTACATGGTTGAACTATACTAGCTCAACCATGAATATATTAATCAGGCTAATGATTTTGTGAGCTATAGTTTTCTGATGCACACATTTAAATAAATATTTTTTGACAACTGAACTGCATTACAATAGTATTGTCATGAAGCGGGCGTTGAAGCAGCATTTAAAGAAATTTGACAGTTATATCAAAACGGCATAAGAAAATTTAATGCTGAAGGTGAACATCATTATCTCCTTGCAATTTAATATTAATGGCATATTTAAGGGACCGGTTTTATAGAATAGAAGTGTCGGCGTTGAGGACATAGGCCCATGGCCTGTTGCCGATTCTTGAACTTTTCGTGACTTGATTCACAAGGGATCCGGCCTTTGGAACCCGATCTTTCCATAACTGACGATTGATTGAGATAGCTGCTGGACTTATTGCCTGCTCCGTAATTTGCCAGGCATTTTAAGACCTAACATANGGCTTTATTAAATTGACCTTCAATATGCTTAGAAAATTTCAACTCATTGTCGATATTAACTCCTAAATCCTTTTCCGTTGTCGTTATACATAGTAGTAACTAGTAACCGAGAAAAGCTTGAACTACTGAACAGATGCTTCTCATATAATGCTAGAAAATGGCGACATGTACCAATCAAAGTGAGAAAAAAGAACGTTGCAAAAAGATTGGGCATCATTAATGTAACCTTAGAACTCAATAGGAGCTAATAGTAGCAATGGTAGAAGCTTGGCAGTTGCGATGACTGCTCGCCGATATTAATTGTGTTGAAGTAATTAAAACGAATCAAATTAACGGGGGATTGAATCTTCAATCAAAATTTAAATATTAAGTTCTTAAAGGCAGGAGATATACAAATTTAGCACATATTTTTGTAAAAACTTACGAGTAAGTTCAGTACAAAAGTAGCTAATTAGAATGTACGAAAGTAAGTAGAGATCCATAGATTCGCATAGATCCATACACGATTACACATAGATCTTAAATGCGTGTGGCCATATTTATAACTCAGCCAATCATTTCTATAGCAAAGTGGCCATATTTATAACTCAGCCAATCATTTCTATAGCAAATCAAATTCGTATCAATCATGATATTATCTCAACTGAGATCAGGCTTTCGGAAAACACCTAATACACTAACGATAATGCTTATCGAGAAAATAAATATTAAATGGGGGGACTAAAAAGGTATCCGTGATGATTTGTCGGTAGGTTGGAGAGAGAAGAAAATCTCTCGAGAAGCGAGAGCGCAGGCAGCGGAGAGTGAAGGAGCGCTAATTGTGCTCAGTCTGATAAAAAGCCTCGAGTGGACACAAGACGACCGGCCGAACGCTGCTACCTCGTGTCCAGAATTTACAAGCAGGTTAGCAGCCGTCGCTATGTAACGCCCCAAATTACTGCAAGAACTGGCAGCCTGCCGATGAACGTTCCATGCCTCGATCAGGAAAAGAAATTTCTATTCAGTACCTTAAGATGACAAATCTAATACTTTGAACTTGACATGCAAGTGTAAAAGAAATTTCTATTCAGTACCTTAAGATGACAAATCTAATACTTTGAACTTGACATGCAAGTGTTTTAATATTAAAACAACATTTTAAACTGAGTTTTACTATCCATGGGTCNTCCCGTTCAGTGTCGGCACAGCCGATCTTGTCGGCCGTCACCAAGCCGAACCTCCCAAATCTGGAAGCGACAAAGTTTTTGCGTCAATGGGTCTGCGCTTTACGAGTTTTTGCTCCAAACCAAATGACCTTTTGGTCGGAGCTTTATTAGTTTTTGCAGCGACCGGGCGCAGCCGAGATTCCCTCTCTTCCCGTTGGTGCAACAGTCGTCAACTCGGTGATTGCGAAGTCGACAGTTTCTAGTGTGCACATGTGAAAATCATTGTCACTTGAACTGAATCAAAGCAAATAAAGATCTCAAGGAATATTTTTTTTATTAAATTCTGTAGAAGAAGAAATTCTCAAGCTTCAAGGGATGTGACGAGATCAAGTGTCTCCTGCAAAAGATTCAAAATGTGAAAGACTGATGACATCCAAAGTGAAAAGACGCAAATAATTACTGTGGAATATATTGTTATTATGAAATAGTCTTTTCTTGCACGACTATTATGAATAAATAAATAACTGAGGTTTAATCAAATGCGAATTACCTAATTACATCTGACCTTAGTAACAATTTATATCGGGAAAATTTGTTGATACACGGAAATTCTACACTTCTCTATTCTGCATTATTTTGATTCAAGTTTAGTCAGAATTTTGGGTTTGGCTTCCGTATAAAAGATTGATTTGATGGTGCATCATAATGAAGGTGTTGTATCAATTGAAAAAAAAGACTCATTAGTATAGTATCTTCGGCATTAAAGAATAGGCCTGGATAGGCCTGTCGCTGATTCTTGTACTTTTCTTGACTAGACTGGCCTTATATACGGACGGTAGATTTAAAATCGCTTCTAGATATCAGTTGTTCCGTAGGGTACTCATTGGTCGAAAGAAGCGTCCGATAGATTTATTTGCTTAAATATTAGCTTTTTTTATTTTCACTAGCTTATGATTATTCGATAATTAGCGTAAGGTAAATAAGTGAATGAGTGAAAGAAACTCGATGAAATAACACATAATGAATTTTGAAACGTGCAAGTTACTTCACTGAGTAACACTAGAGCAGCTCAGTGATATCTATTGAAGTTTCACACCTATTAATTCAGCTCATAAGCCCTTTAAACCCTTGTAAGAACAAATAGCCAAGATCTTGCGACATTTTAAATTGGACATTATAAAATAAGGACAAGCTTAGGTCCTTATATTACTATAAAATTATGACCAACTTATGCTCTAATAATATATATTACGACATAATATGAATGTTTCCTATATTAGTTGGTTCCAGAGGAGGTATTTGGCACTGCCCTCGATTAGGATCCCGTGGCGCCCCTCGTGTGTTTCCGATGTTCTCGCTGCAGGGTTTTGTCCGCACACGAGTTTCTTTTTGCGGACCGGAAGAGAAGAGCGCGAGGACCGGCGGTGTCGGCACGACAACAAAAGCAGCTCGGAAGGTCGCACGTCCAAGTGAAGACGTCTAGTACTATGGCTGCGGAACACACACTTCTATTATGTGCTCTAAAATAAATATGGTAACTAATTACGCACTTTGCTATAGTTTATGATAAATCCGCGGTCCAGAAGTTTGTACTCTAATTTCGGTTAATTACTGATCGAAAGCGTGTAGTGTAATTGTTGATTTACTTGGTATTTGATTAAAAAACTACCGACATCTCTTGATTTTTCCATGCTATCAACTCTGCATCATACGAAATAAATGAATCGATCAGTTGATTTCATGGAGACCAATCATTTTATCAAATAAATATGGGTGATATCAAAGCAAACTTGTGATATAGCGGTCAAAGTTGCTGTTTGAATCACATTATGGCGCTACGATCTTTAGGCAAATGGTTTCAGAATTCCGTTCTGACAACGAAAAGGTTTTGCAAATTGAATTTTGATGTCCGTTTGCCTCTTACCAAAAGCGATTGTTTTTCAGAGCCTTTGCGATACGCAGAAATGTTGCCGACGGCTTTTCTACACAGAAATAATTTTAGTCCATCATTGGCTATCCAGAATGGTCCCTAATGTTGCATGAAAATTTAAATAAATCATCTGGAGTGACGGAACAAATTCCGAATAAATAGCGTAAGCAATGGCTCCCCTCCAAGTCGAGTCCATTTAATAAAGTCGCTAGGCATTAACTTACAAAATAAAGTGCTTATCTCAATGAAAACCGGCTTTCTAAAGCAGTTAAACTTGAGGGGAGAGCCGGACTGACCGACGGGATGCGTCTATTGAACCTTTCTTCGTCCTCGTACGAAACACGAACATCGTGATGCTGGTGCATGTGCCGAAAGCAACCTTAGTAAATCACCCGATAAAAGTTAACATTAAAACATCCTAATTCTTATATATCTAATGACACAATCTTTCTATACCCCAATACGTAACCCTTGTAAACACCACGCACATAAATCAACTCACATCCCTCTGGCTGCTCCATCGATCAGTTCAATGCGGCACAAAATCTCATGCGCCTCATTTCTTGCGCGGCCAACATGGCCTGTAATGCCTTGAGCCGCAGTCGCGCTCCACGGAACTCATCAATTGACAATTTCTCTCATAAGCCGCGGCTCAAACCTTCAATCAGACAAAAGAGACCACTTGAGTTTTTTATTCTCGGGACGAATTTGACGGGTACATTTGAAAGAAGGAACTGACAATAAAAAATGTACAATGCTCGTGTAGATGTCAATTTTTTGCCTTCACTAAGTCAGCGGCAGAGTTTTTATTTGTAATAACGAAATAAACGATGGGCTGAATTGAACAATCGAATGTGCAGGACAAGAATGGTAAAAACGGGAAATTATCGTAGCCGTATTATTTGTATGTAATTGTATTATATGTATGTAATTACTGAGCAATGGGTTTTGCGCCCACAGCAGTAAGAATATGAGTTAAAATTTGGAGCTTTCAAGCGTTCTTATTTAGAGAATTTAGTCGAAATTTGAAGCGTTTTCCAACCACATGCAGACTTCCTTCCAGTCTGCCTCTCCCTCCGCCACACAACTGTCCAGAATTCGTGATTTTCCTGCAGCGCCGCACCAAACGTCCTGGAAAAGCACACTCACCGATAGACGCCTGATCATAAAAAAGGA